AAAAACACAGGATTCCTCGAAAATACGCGCCGCCACGGCGTACCAGTCTCTATCTAAAACCCACAGGCGTCAGTCAACACCCTTGTTCCCAAAATCTCGTCTGAATTGCTCGAGTTCGAGCGCCAAAAAGCCGAGCCGAATTTCTAGGGGCAACAACAAATATATTGATTGTGTAATTTTGCCATTTTGCTGAAAGACAGGATTGAATGATTCGGGCTCTGTGAATCGAAACTGATCGCTCCACTTGAGATTCTAGCTGAGAGGTTGTAACTCGACACACGAGTCGGATGTAGCTGCTCGACGGGCCATCGTTGCTGACGCACCGCGGTCGGCTTGTACTAGTTGTGAAAGTCGAAGGTAAGCTTCCGCCCCTAGTGTGCAAAGCTTTCTGCAAGATGCGAGCCATGTCGATAATCGCTGCCGTCGTTGACATGCCCATTTTGTCAGCAGATTTTGTCATTTGTTGGCCTGCCAACCACAACACCCTGGCTGAGACTTCTGACTCCTGACTGCAGCCTGACATGCTCTTCCGTGTGATCGGCGAGTGAGGTCCTTCTCTTTGATTTTTCGAAGCTTCGGCGAGGCGGAAGCTCTGTCACTTGAGAGAATGAAAGTTTTGCGAGAACACTTGTACTGTGGTGGCTTTCGCTGTACAGGACTTGGAGCTCGTCGCGAGTGAGCTGAATTCGTTCTGCGAAGGGAAGCACCCCATGTTTCCAGGACTGGCCCGACTGGCCGATCATATCAAGTTGTCACGACTGCCCGGATGGGTGTGCTACGCCTCACAATTCTGGCAGGCTTTTGCATGGATGGAAGCGATGGAGAACCAGACTATCGGTTCCATGTCACACACCCGGAGCGATATGGGAATTTCCATGTCGTGCCTTTGCCAAACTTCATTTCAGAAACTGGCTCCGACTTCTCACCTGCTGTTTGTTTTTCTGAGGAAGACGAGGAGCTGCACCTGGTGTTGGGGACCATCGAGCAACCTGGAGAGGGGAGCTTCAAGGACTTCCGTGAATACTTTCACCACACCCACATCGTGCCCAATCCACCTCTCCAAGCAGACTCCCTTACAGGATGTCAAGGATCGAAGCCTCGCTTTCTTCCAGCAGCACGATTTGCCAGTCAAGAAAATTATATCGGGCACGCGCCATGCTCAGCGAAGCCGTCATCCGCATGTGCCGTGAGCTCCGCATCGACTGCACTCGTGGAGCACGCAGGTCTGCCGTGGTGGACTTTATCTGGGAGCTATCGTCACAATGTGTGACGGCTGGCTTCAGAGACAATTTCCAGTTCTGGAAAGCGAAGAATCACAGCCAGGACCGACCATAGGAGGAGTGGCACCTGCTTGGCAATTACGACTGCGTCATTAAACCATCTTCTATTGATCAGGAAGGTGGCAAGTTTTTCCTTTTCGATGCCTCACGGAGTACACGGCGCCATGAGATGTTTTTCGATGATAACGTGCATTTCGATGACTTGAAGATCGTCCGTCCATTTAACAGGCCGCATGCATGTATCATGTCCACCACATCGAAACTCAATGCTGTAGGATGCTGTAGGTGTGCCTGCTGGCTGCGCAAGTTACCGGCGTCTCTGCAGTGCAGTCTCCTTGCCAGGCTTCGGCAGCGCAAGTCTTGGTGGGGGCTGCCACTGCTGCAAACCCATGTGTGCTGTGCCCGGTAAGAATCGCATGCTCCAGCCGCACACACGTTATGCAGATCTGAAGATTCGCTCACTGCGTTCAGGTGCAGGGCGGATGCACTCACTGCCATCAACGACGACCTGTACTTCGTCGCAGAGGTTCAGAGGCTCGGGCCTCGGCTTACAGGAAAGCCGGATTTGAGGGGCGATATCGAGCCTAACCTCCTCGCAGTGCCAAAAAAGCTCTCCTATAGCCTGCAGAGTCCAAGTTAGTGAGCGGACGAAAGGATGGAAGACAACTACGAGCACAAGCTTGCAGCAATGCAGCGCTGCAGTACCTGCCACCGGTCAGATCTTACGAAGAATACTGTTTTTTGATATAGTTGCAGTAGTAAAAAACAGGAAGAACCTCAAATAAGAAGAAGAGTTTAAGCAACAAGGAGCACGCAGTGGCAACAGTCATACGGCAGTAACAACAAAAAAGTAACAGCTCTCAGGCTGCTACTAGAATGATGCTGGTAGACCTGGGCACCTAAAACTGAGAAGACAAATGAACTGAGACTTTCTGTTTCGTTTCTCGCAAAGCCCAGGCTTGCAGCGATTGCCGAAAGGTGCCGAAAGCGTTTCAATCCCTCAGCTTCATCACAATGCGAAGCTTGGCTTGGTCACAGCCGCGTGCGCCCAACCCGCGAGAGAAGCAGTTCGCACAAGGGCCTATGCTGCGAGCTGAGGAATTACGATGCATGGGAGGGCCTCCGAAAGGATGAAAGTGTTTTGCCGCTGACATCAGACGCTGATGCAGACTTCTTCTCGCCTATTGCCCGGAGTTCTGAAGGAACGAAGTGAAAGTAGGCTGAGTGATCGACCACGCCGTTGCAGAGGCTACTGCTGGCTGCTCTGTACTCCATATGGTGAAACAGGGCATAAATCCAGCGGTCCACGAGACTTTCTGCATAAGGCGCTGGCATGATATCATGTCCATCTGCCCACCCTTGCAGCCGATCCATCCAGTGTTCCACCATATTCAAGCGCTTAGGAAATCCAGCTAAACTTGCAGGAAGTTCGTGGAAACTGTTTGATTGGCCAGCGGCCTCTCGAGGGACACATTGCCTCTATCGTAGATCGCGGTGTATCTGTATCTTGTAGCATGGTCCCTTTTAAGTGAGTTCTGAGATAGTGAGAAACGATATTCCTGGAACTAGTCGAGTCCACGAGCTGCACCTGTCTCAGAAGTCACGCTGGAAAAGTTTTTGCAGAATGAAGATGAGCTTTCAGTCGCTGAGAGCCATCCTTTTCTCTTGACAAGCCGGTTCCCACACCAGGTCGATTCACACTGTTTTGCTGTGGGTTGATATCAGTGTTGCTCAGCTGCTTTTTGGGGGTCAGGGGTTTGCCGCAAGCCTCAATAATGCCCTGCATCTGCATTACATTAAATTCAGCTTCCAGAAAAAGGCTTTCTTTTCATGGTTACGCAGTCGGGACATCCAAGAACACACGAGACTCAGATCTGCTGGCACCGGCTGCCTGTACCAAGTTTTCACCAATGTGCGCACACATGCCTTTACAGATGGAACTCGAGATCCTTGAGCTTGGCCACTGCATGCCACTGCTAGGTTCGGTGCCGGTTCGGGCTAGCGGCTATCATCGGCTATCTCGTGTTTTTTGGGGGGGCAACCGATCGCAATTGCAAGACAACCCGCTGTGCACTCGGATCTCGTCGGCCTCGGCGTATGCCGTAATGGCAAGAAGTGGATGAGCTCAAGCGCAGATCTTTGCGGCGGGTTCTGGGTTGTAAGAATGCGAGGAGTTGAAAAGACTGGAAGCAACTGCTAAGTTCAGCAGGTGGGCCATGCAACGTGAACCAGGGACCACCACCACTGCAACGGCATAAATGCACCGCATCAACCAAGGCGAGGCCAGCAATCGAGCCAGAAGGGATCAAAGAGACGTCAGCTCCATTTTTGCAAAAAGTCCTCCGAACCGCAGGACTTGTGAGCGTTACATTGCCTCAGGCTCTTCTGTGGCGGATCCGTGGGGGTTCAGAGTCTGGCGGCCACTTGGCGATTCAAGAAAGCCAGGGGCCTTCCAGATAGGCAAGGGCCAGCGGGAGTTGAACAAAGCTGAGAGGAGAAAGAGAAGCATTTCCGTACTTCTTGCTGCAGCTCGGCTGGAGGGTAGCCGGAGCAGCCGTTTGAAGCGATTCATCTCATGATCGCACGAGCCAAAATATCATTCCTGCTCCAGACGTACTTGCAAGCTATGTGCCTCACTAACTGCCGGAATCGGCCAGACAGACAACAAGTATGCAGAGCATGGTATCCAGCATTCTGACCGGGCGCACGAATTTAAATCTATGGATCACCGGATCCACAGTGAGCCATTGGCCTCGCTTCGCCATGGGCAAGAAGGCTGGACCGAGGGGCCGAAGCACTGCAGTGGTCAGGGGTTACTATCCAAATGCCCCTACAAGCCAATCTGTCACAGGGTGCTTTTGCCATTCCGCGACCACAATTCCATTGTGGTATGCTGAATGCTGCAGGCCCTCAAGAGGCAGGGAAGCAGCAAGGCCGCTTGCTCGTCACACGAGTCAAGCAAGGAGATCATGGAAGGTCTTGTTCTGCACAGCATGGGAGTTGGCTGAGACAGCTTGGCTTCGTGGCACCCAGGTCCAAGCCCCAACACCGAGTAGCCAAGCGAGCAAGGCAACTCGGCCGGAGTTTCGAGTTGATGCCTCTCAGCATCCCCTAACCTCGAGGAAGTTAGTATCGACGACTTGCTCAGCGACTTGAGCCCGACCAGCAGCAAAGCAGCCACTTGTCTCACCTTGCACATGGCCACTTCTGTTTGTGGTCAGCGCCTCTGCTAAGTCTTCGGGAAAGAAAGCCTCGAAGAAGCGCGCCGCGGAGGAAGCTTGGAAGCTTTAGCGCTTCGGAGCCTCGGAGAGCCTCGGAGCCTGAGTTAAGAGTCCCATGAAGAGACTGACTTTGAGGAGCGCCGCAAGGCCGAGGCCGCCTTGCGTCTCGCCGAGCTGCAGCGCCAGGAGGACCACAGGGGGCATCCCAGGGCCCGGGCTTTGCACAGGCACAAAGCAATGGAGCACTCACAAGAAATGCATGCAAATGCGAGAAGCTCGGTATTTGTGGAAGCTTTTGGATCTTGGAGGCGGCCGGAAGTGAATGCTGGATGTCGATCTCCACCAGCACGCTTTGAAGCCCTACTCCTGCTGTCACGTGCTGAGCTCTGACCTTGAGGAGGATGCTGAACAGCAGCTGAAAAACACCCTGGCTTTACAGGACGCCGGAAACTGCTGGTAGCGTGCACTCGCATCTGCTGAATACTAGGCAGCTCGAGAACCGCTGAAGCGTGTCGACACAATTCGCTTGGGGGGGCTATGACTTACAGGTGTGCACGAAACAACCGATGCTTACCTCGTAGGTTGAGCTCTCTTGTTCATTTTAGTCTCTGGGACTTACTGTGCATAGGAGCAGCTTCTCCAGCGCGCAATGCGGGCAGCCAACTCGGCCAGTTCGTCGGTTGCCGCAGGCACCGGCCTGCTGCTGGTTTGCCGAGCGCAATTCCGCAGAGTTGGTTTTGGTGTCGTTTGTAGAGGCACCAAGACTGCCTTGTGAGGCTTTCGACATTCCAGTGTTGTGCAAGCCGACGGCAGCCCCTCTGACGCTATGGCGATGGACGTCGTGAAAACGACTCTAAATTGTAAGCCACACATCCATGCAACGCTGCTAGCTTGTTCTTCAAGGCCTGCAATGCTTTGGCACGTCTGGACGGGGCCAGTGCCATGTGCCGACGAATCTGGGGCTTGCGCAGGCAGTGGCCGCTGGCAACTTGGCACCGGGCTGTCCATGCATGCCATGCCTGAAATCACTACGGCCCTCGAGACTTCGACTTGAAATAACTTGAACCGTAGCCTAGGCAACCTGCACACCTGTGCCGTGCAAGCCGATGGAATGCTCCAGTGCTTCGGAGATGACAGACCCTTGGCTGCTGCATCCACACACGATTATTTGGGTGAACCTCTGTTGCAGCTGTTAGCAACCTAGCGTCAACGTCAGCTCTCAACCTTGGCTCTGTCTGTCTGTCTGTTAGTCTGTTTATTGTTTTTTGCTTGCTTGCTTGCTTGTTTGTATGTATGTATGTATGTTTGTGTGTGTGTGTGTGCGTGGGGGTGTGTGTGTGTGTGTGTGTGTGGGTGTGTGTGCGTGCGCGCGTGCGTGCGTGCGTGCGTGCGTGCGCGCGTGCGTGTGCGTGCGCGCGTGCATGTGCGTGTGCATGTGCGTGTGCGTGTGCGTGCGCGTGTGTGTGTGCGT